CATGTTTTCCCTCTTCCCATTTTCAATTTTTCTTGCAGAATTTAGTTGTCATCAAAGAAGAAAATCAATATGGGACAAAATTAAACTTGTTATTTTCAATCAAAATTTCAATTTTGGACAATATGTTCTTGCATGTTCTTCCTAATTCAATTGTTCATGTTCATGCAACCACATAAAAGAAAGGACTTTCACTCAATAGTGATGCTATCTTGCAGATACTACTGCTTGGTTGAATATTTCTAACAAACATGGTACTAAGATTGAACATCGATCTAATAGCATTAACAACACAAGATTGAATTTGCAAAGTGCAAATTGTGGAAATCGGACGCCCGAGAGAAAGCCCTGACAAGAAATGTAGATTCCAAAATTTGATTTTAGAAGATGAACAAGTGAGCTCATTACATTTAATCTCATCAATATTCTCCTTTTTTAATATTTACCTCATATGAAAATTTTTGTTTTATTTTACTCTTAGTAAACAGTTTAACTTATTCTCAGATCTCTACAACTCTCACTTTCAGGAATGCCAAATAAAGGCAGTACTGTATGCAGATGAAATTGAACAGTATGCAGAAATGCTTAAACTCATGAATACTTATCTCATCTCTACCGCAAGAGTCAAAATCTCCCAAACTTCACACGGAAAGCCGATACACAAATTTTACTGGGTTCTTGACAAAGAAACAGTAATTGAACATATCACACCATCTAATGGAGTTGAGAATCCACTTCCACCACCAACCAAGCTGAATCTCACAACCTTTGACCGCATTCCTCACATGATGCTTGATTCTGCTCTTGAAATTGGTATATCCACCCTATTAACTTTTACAACAGTAAAATATATCTGCTTACTGATACACACACTTACAACATTTCATTCTTTATTATATACACAGATATACTGGCAATCGTTCTCCGTTGTAGTCCTCAAAAATACGCAGGTCGCACTAATCATAAGGGTCGAGAAATTATCATTTGTGACAATCAGTAAGCCCATTTTGCCTTATATTTTCCCATTTAATGAAAATATTTTGAATAAGTAAACACTTTTATTGTTTACTTAATCGTACCATCACTTATCATCTGGTCGTTATCATGTTACTTCAGCAAAAACCAATTTCTCCTCACTCTATGGGAGGATTTTGGAGAAATTGAAGGAAATGAAATCGAAGCAAAAATGGAAAAAGAAATGGATCTTATTGTAATCCTTGGCAGGAATATAGGAATCTCTACTTTTCAAGGTACATGCATTGAACTTTTTACCAAAAAAATTTATATAATAACAAAACGTTATGCAAGCTTTCTGTCGTACAGGGTTGTCACTGCAGAGTAGGTACAATTCAACAATACGCGTAGCTCCTACTTACCCACAGGCAGTAGAACTCACCAAATGGTACTAACATGTCATCACTATTCTCTAGCTTTAATTTGCATTTAAAGAACGTATTAAACCAACTATTTGTTGTAACAATAGGGCAAAAGAAAACAAATCAATGTTGTTAGGTCGAGCGTCGAACAAAACCTCAATAAGCTCATCTGCCCCTCTCATGGTATTGACTCCTGCAGGCCAACAAGTTGTCTCTATTGAACAAATTTCATCACCAACTTCTATAAGTCATACTTCAAACTGATAATTTAAAAGTTTGCATATTTATTAAATAATAAAACAAATTTTATTTATTCATCAGTAACTCAACATGTATTATGTATATAATATTTCCCAACAGATGGGACTCTTCTATGTTGAAGCAGAAATGGCCATATCAGATGAATTGTAAGAGTTTTGTGTACTTGAATGCTCAGGATGCAAACAAAAGAAGCGCACAAAAGATAGAAAGGATTTTCATTGTCCAAAATGCAATCGGAAAACAACATTACTTCCTCGGTATTTCTCTTTCTCATTCGTCTTTGTTCAATTGATATATCTACTTAAGAATACATATTATGTGCTATTGATAACCCGTATATATGGCAATGTTTACTGATGTGTATCATTTATAACAGAAAATAGTGACAAGTTTATACCAAATTGACTTTACATTAATTGATTAGTAGTTGTAAATAGTTTTACTTTAAGATATCTTCATTTAGTACAATTATATGTTTGAAAAAATAATATAATACCTATACATATACAGAAGCATTAAGTTATACTTTAACTATGTAAGTGCCAAAATGGAAAACAGTTTTTGGTAGAAGGCTGTCCTTCAACCTCTAAAATTAATAGATCACACACATAACAACAAATATTATTGATACGTATTAAGAAAGAATCATAAATTGTCCCTATAATAATAAAAGAAAAAAGCACATTAAATCAAATCTCAAATAGTCAGAAAAAGGAAAAGTAACAAACACTCATATTTTTAACTTATCATGATTTCAGGTGTATCTTTCAAATTGATCTTACTGACGGTACTGCTACAGTCACAGCATCTATCTCTGTTGAATTGGGAGAAAAACTACTCTCTATGACAGCGGAAGACATATTTGACATAACCTGTGCTAAGGTGATCTCTTATTCCAGCCAACACATCTATTGTCACAAAGAGTTTCTTCTCACTCTTTACAGTTACAGAAGCAATCCTTGTATATTAATCATGTCCATGAGATGTTGTCCAACAAACTATTTCAAATTCAGCTAAGGAAGTCATCTTGGGGTACCTCAAACAACACACAAGCAACTTACTCCATTATTTCCTACATGGAAAAGCAACATACTCCACCAACTACTATTGATAGGAATTCCAAAAAGGTAAGACCTTTGGAGATAAGTGAGATGGAGGTGACAGAAACAACTACTGCAGCTGGTTCTTCAAATGCAACTCTGAAATTTGAACCACCCACACCAACAAAAAAACTGTAAAGGTCAGTCTACATCTGATTATCACATTTATTATTCAAAATTTAATTATAAATCACAATGATTAACAGTTCAAAACATTTACAAGTATTTGAAATTTAATAAAATTTAAGACTGTCATTGATAAATTATAAATTAGTTTAACAAATCATGAACTACTTCAAACAGGAATTGAAAAAAATAGAGATAATGTGTCTGCCCTATCTGTCTTTGATGAGAATTAATTGTTGCCTTTGATGAGGTTGACTGCTATGGTTTGATACCTCATTTTGAGGTTGAATCATTGTTGCATTTTAATCTTTTTTGGCTCCATTTTTTGATGTATTTTAGACCATGGGTTGCTGATTTTGTATCGTATTGCTGCTGAATTTTAGACTAAACTATTTGTTACACTTCTGATCAAATTTCTGTCTATTGTTGCTATGTGTTGAGCTAAATCTTGCTACACTTTTGGCTATATTTGAGCCAATGGTTTGCCTATGTATTTGGCTAAACTTTGCTGCACTTTTAAGTTAGCCAACTGCTGCATTTTTTCCAAAAATCAGGTATACCATGCCTCTGTTTGCATCTTTGTTTTTGATATGCCTTCAGAATTCTAATAATTATAGTTTAATCTTATGAAAAACAGACCACCCAACAATGTAAATCAAGTGATGAACTTCTGCAATAGCATAACATATATCTTCCCAACATTTATTGTGTTAAAAAATTGTACCATTTTCCAGTTTGATTTCTGCGAACTTTACATTATAACTTACATGAGCATCTTGGTATACTTTCACTGAACCTGCTTACCTCACTGGAAAATATGAATTTCTCACCCCTAAATACTGAGGATCTGAAGCAATCCTCTGTTTGTACAATGAGTTTTTCTCAAATTCTGCCAATTATCTCATGTATTATTGCCTATTTAAATACAGGACAATGACAACATCCAACTGATATGAATTTAAATATTGTATTTTCACTTTTTAACATACCTTGATTTCTCTAATTACAGGAACTTCCTCACTTGATTTTGTGACTTTTGCTTAATGAAGTTTTTGGATTCTCAGTCGATTCAAGTTTGCTCAATAGGGAGAATGAAATGAATCAGTTAACTTTTTGTCCAGGAAATGAATCAGTTAACTTTTTGTGAAGCCTTCGTTATTTAGCTTCGCTGGTAATATTATATTCCACATTTTTGTCATATATACTTTTTGAATGGTTTCACTTTTGTCATTAACAACTCAACTTTCTAAATTTACTAACACTAACAATTTTCTCAGCAACCCCTAACAACTCCCTATGCTATGGTTTTGGGAATGATGAAGAAGATCAGCAACTGAAAATGAACAGCAGCATCCACATGTTGATCTCATATGTCAAAAAAATATTTTGATTTTATTACCTTTGTTACTATGGATCATCTTGATGTCCAATATCAGTTGTACATATATTTTGAACATCTCTAATACTATATAACATATCACATTATCTTATCTTCTATGACAACTATCATCAATGATTCTGATATTTTGACTATTGGGCCCGTGCTTGCCACTGGCCTTGCCCATCTAGTAAATTGAGAGATTACAGTTTTCTAAGTGATTTTAATGTGCATAAACTTTTAAAATTTTCAAAATTATGAATGTTACGAGCTAGATTAAATATATATATAGATTATATGATGATAATTAAATTGAATATATATATATATATATTATAAATGATAAATATTATTAAATTAGATATTTTAATTAGAAATTAATCAATGGAAGTGCAAAAGTCATTCACATTTTTATTAAAATGATATAATTTAATATTTAAATTAAAATATTTAAATGCTTTTATAACATTTTAATTTAAAGTAGGAATAAAATGTAATTCAACTTTTTAATTTTTTGTTCCCTCTTATAATAATATACTAGTTTCTGAGTACATGCTTCGCACGTGTGTTTCATGTAAATTTTTATAGATAAGTTAGAATGACTAAAATTTTATGAATTATATATATAATTGTAATGAATAATAAAATACAACAATTAAAAAATAAGAATAAAGACTTATGACGATAAAATATTTATAGAAAACTAAATTAAGAAGTCTAATAGAGCTAAAAAAAAGAAATAGATTTAAGAAAAAAATACAATGTAGACATTATTCTTATAAAATTGATGTATATATAGATGAAAAAATAAGTATAAACTTAGTACATAACTCTCTGACTTCATATCGACTCCTTTCATATCCTATCAAAATTTCAGAGTCATCTTCATCAACTTCAACTATAGAATAAAAATAATAGCCTAATACTCTTAGTAGGGATTTCATGAGATAAAGAAACTGAATATATGTATTCAGGGGTGTCTCAACCATAAGGCCACTAAAGCAATCGCTTTCATGTATTGATAAACTTGAAGAAAAAAAAGTGTATGGAAAATATAATTAAGAAATTAAATTGAATGTAGTTTAGTTGATTGTAGTATCTTTTTTAGATTCTTATGTGGCTAGCTAATTGTAATATACTTTCTAGTTTCGCGTGTGACTATCTATATTATTGTCTAGTTCATTTATTATGATGATTATCATGAACCAACATTATTATGTTCTCTTACTTCTCTTCATTATCTTTTATTCTTTCATTATTGAATATTATGAAGTCTCTCAAATGTTCAAACATTCTATATTATGTAAAATCTATTGTTGTATGTTTATAAAAAGATCAAATTTGTTTTAGGTGTCTTATTCAAATTTAAAGCACTAAACTAATCACACTATTTAATATTATTTATTAACTTTCCAAATTCATCGCAATAATATTTTATTATCATCGTATTTTTAAAAATCTTGAATCATGTTTTATTATTTTAATTTTATATTACATAATTTTCATTGACAAATTACATTATTTACATTCTTACTTCATAATGTCTATATATATCCTGTTTTTGAAGACCTTGTTTATAAGAATATCATGAATAAAAGATTATCCGGCATACATGATCTTATTACTGAATATCATAATCTGAGGCTTTTGTTCCTCTTGTATTAAGCACCGCAACAAACGACAAAAAATTAAGTCTCGAAAGCAAACAAAATATATACAATAATAAATACATAATAGAATCTATAAGCAAAACATATATGTGTGCATATTTAAATTTTCTTTCATTCTAACATCTTTTCAATCTTGAAAAAATGGGAACATATATCAAATTAAACAAAAATCGAAACTAATATCGTAAATTAAACAATCAAGATACATTAATGAAATGTCATTAATTTTTTTTAAAAAAAATCTCTTTCATTATCTCTTCCACCTTAATAATGAACCTGATGAAAATTCTTTCATATCATCAGCATTTCCATTATTCATTTATCTCAACAAAACAAGCAAAATAAAAAAAAATAACTAAGATTACTTCGTGAAAAAGTTTACATAAAACTACCTTCGCTTGAAGCACACAAGTGTATTTATAGTAGTAAATATATAATGTCATATAGAAACTCAAAAGTCATGCCAAATCAAAAAGTCATACAAATAACTCTTGGGTTCTTCACCATACATGCACTTGCAATTAATTTGTGATTAGATTCTTCACCAAACATGAACTTGCATTTAATTTGTAATTATTTATTTTGGGTAATTCATTATACAGTATAATTAATAATTATTTGATTTTCATTTTGACAAATAACTCATAATCTAAAAAATAATTAAAATATTATTGCTTAATATTTAATTAATTAGGTTTGTAAAATATTTTAATTAACAATAAGGGCAAAACTGTAATTTAACTTTGAAGATAAAACCTATTTTATTATGATAGATATGATTATATGTTGTTCTTTGCTTCAATAATATTGATGAAGTAAAATATGCATGACCGAGGAATGAAAAATAAAATATATTTATGGTAAACAAGCTCATAATTTGGGCAAAGTCCAACTTATTACCTTTGCTTACATTGTATTATAAAGCAATCGTAATTAAAAAAAAACTATAAGCAAGATGGACGGACGCGCAAATATTCCTTATTTGCCTAGAGATATTGTCAACTCGATCCTTTTAAAGCTTCCTATGAAAT